CTACCTTCAGTATGATGTCTCCTGGCAGGAGCCGGCCGTCTCTGGCAACTGCGCCATCATGATAAATGTGTTGGATGACGATATGGACCAGTGGGGTTTCACTGCCTCCCACAAGCCTAATGGAGAGACTTTCATTGGGATCCACTCGATGGATTCTGATGCTGGTGATTTCACCATCTGGAATCAGGTGATACAACCTTGGAAAGACTGAAATGGATAAAGACAGTATTTATTTAAGACGCCCACCCAGAGGACGTTTCTAACCACTCTCTTCTTGCCAAACTTTGGCTTCAGCCAAAGTAAACTACTCATTGTTCCTCACGCATGTTTTCAACTTTCCTGCCTCTGTGCCAGCGTAAGTATCTTTGCCTGGAATGTTTTTCATCCTGGGCCTAAATGAAAGGCCTGCATGAAATAATCCCTTCCAATTACACTCTACCCAGATGCCTCTTTTCCCTGCCCTGACATCCCATTTCCTATAAAGCTTTCTTGTTATTTCTCACGGCAACTCAACCTTCTCTTGTTGCTATTCATGCCTATTTCTTCCATCCCCCCATTGGACTCTACAGCCCTTGAGGGCATAACTTGTGGCTGCTCTGTGGTTCTGTGCACAGATTTCTGCATTCAGCATCCTTCAGGTGATGTTTAGCATGAATGGGAATGAATAAATGATGAATGGCCCTATGGAATAAAGAAATGAATGGTCCTTATGGAATGAATAAATGAATGGTCTTATGGAATGAATAAATGAATGGTCCTTATGGAATGAATAAATGAATGGTCCTTATGGAATGAATAAATGAATGGTCTTACAGAATGAATAAATGAATTATCCTTATGGAATGAATAAATGAATGGTCCTTATGGAATGAGTGGCAGTTTCATCATTTGTTTATCAAGAGACAACAACAGAAGAAAGCAAAGCCCTGCTCTTCCCTACTTTCAGATCGTTTCAAAAATGTCTTTGTCAAAGACCCTGCTTTTCAGGCTTGAAGAATTATCAATCTTCTCTACCAGACACTGCTGTCGATAAAGGAGCTAAGAGACCTGATTCATGATGGAGAAGAAGTCAATACCCAACTGGTGGCTTCAGGATTTTTGTCCCTGATCTGCCCGAGTCACTGAATTTAGAGCTAAATTAGGGGGATTCAAAGATCAGATAGCTGGTGTTTCCAAACTTTCCCCGAGGACTCTGTCATAGTTGCCTCCCACCTGCCACTCCACTGCCACCTCACGGGGAAGAGCTGCACTAGCTGTTATGTAGCTTGGTGGTAACAGTCAGATCTTTATGGCACAAGTGAGGACAGTTTAGCTGAGAGCTAGAGTGAAGTCACTGGCTAGGTGGCCCTGAGAGCCTAGGGCTCCTGTGTCCAGCACTCTCGTCCCTGGAAGCAGGTTTTCACAGGGAGGCGGGAGCCCACAGGATGAGCACTATGGCCCTGTAAACCTGTGGTGCCAACTGGCACGGATTCTCCACTTCAGTTTGAATAGAAGGCTTGGAGGACATGGACAAGTTATGGGAACAGGCCACACTTACTTCAGTAGGAAAAGTGGTTCCTGTGAGTGGTTTCAGGCTCAAGTGTGTAGGTGGCAGGCTGAGCCGCTGCTATCTCCTGTAGCTGCTGACAGCTGCCTCTGCCCTGGGAGTCTCGTCTAATTATGTCATCAGGACAAACACTGCAGGCCTGGTTCTGTACAGTCTGTGTTTTGTGACTATTTTCAAAATCCATGACTTTAGTTTCTTTTTTCCTAATAAACTAATGAGTCTTGGACTCTCTAGAAATAATATAGAAAGGGCAGAAATTATTTCCAAGTATTGCAGGGCACAGTGGACTAAGTAGGTCCGAGGAAGACTGCCTCATTGTCACGGCCTGTTCTCAACCTTCATTTGGGTTCAGTTTACCTAAGTGATTGGCCTTCTGTAATGCAGGGGGTTCAGTTTACCTAAGTGATTGGCCTTCTGTAATGCAGGGGGCAGCCGTCTTTATCAGTCAGTTCCTGGTGCTAACAGGAACTGTTAGCTTGGGTGATTGAGTTCAATTAATGTTCAAACTACTTGGATTGCTTTAAGTAGGCTATATAAAAGCATTTGTTGGAATATGTCTGGTATAAGAAGGGAATGGACTTTTTTTTTTTTTTTTGAGACAGGAGCCTCAAGCTGTCCCCCTGGGTAGAGTGCCGTGGCATCTCAGCTCACAGCAACCTCCAACTCCTGGGCTCAAGCGAGTCTCCTGCCT